AGGGAAATTAGTTATTGTATTTTATGGAAGTGATAATAAAAGTGTGCTCCTGTGAAATATATAACCCATATTGTAAACTAATGCTGCCTTTCTCACATGAACTAGTTTAAGAACAGGAATGCTTATAGGCATGTTAATTTTTTTGTTCCTTTCTTTGGTCTTTGGGGTGTTTTACTAAAAACTGAATGCAGGCAGAAATGCTGTTGGATGGTCAGCTAACTTCTGCCGTGTTACAAATTGTATATAAAAAAAGTCTTTCCGAAAAGATTGCTTCCTCCTGTATTTCTAGTGTTTGCGCATGTTACGTTGCCTCTTAAACATTTAATTCTTTTTAGATCAATCAATACTTTTCAGCTTTTTCGATTAGCTGTTGTCATTCCTCTCAAACCACTTTGTCAGCCATGATATCAAACTTAAAAGAAAATTGCTAGAAACATGACTCCAGTTTAGAATTTTTATGCTGGATGCAGATCACTTAAAAAGTCCAGATTGTCCTAAAACTAGTGCCCGAAAAGCTGCTAGGAAGTCTACGAGCTGACACACTGATACTTAGAATCCACTCCTGTACTGTGCTGGTCACTTTCTATTCATGTTAATATCTGTGGGTGCTGAAGGTGCACACCATGCTAAAAGCAGTAGGATTTGACAATAAGGAGAATTTAAGAGAGGTGACTGCAGTCATAAAAAAAATACCTATATGCTTAAGGTTGCTTATTTTTGTTTTATTTTTTAATATACTTTTCTAGGCCTTTGATTGTTATTGGAGGCTCTTCTGACAGAAATCAGGAAACCATGGGAGCTTTCCAAGAATTCCCTCAGGTACACAGACATACAGCTTTCTGCAGAAAAGTTTCAGTTAAATAATTGCTGTTGTTTCTTCATTAGCCTGGGAATAACAACCCCAAACACTAACATTTCCTAAGAGATCTTACAGTACTGTTGACGTGCTCCATCTACTGGTTGAAATTGTGTAAATATAGCTGATAACCTGGAATGTATTTTTCCATACTCATGTTAGAATTCATGATCTGTTTTAGGCTCTCAGCTGGTATAAATTGCCTTTGTCTGTTCTGAGATGGAAGAAAGCAAATGCTCCAAGAAAAGTAGCACCAATTTCCAGGAGGAAAAGAAATAAATACTTAAGCACTTGGGAGAATGAGTATGGCTTTGACAGTTTCTACCAGCTGAGGAACTGCATTGGTCTTCATGGGGGTTTTCAGCTTGTTGCTTTCCCTTTGGCATTTCTTCCATTTTATTCATGATGAAACGAGATGGAAACAAGCAAATCACTTTGCTAAATCGATATAATGGTTATATGCATTTATTCAGGTTGAAGCTGGTAGGCTGTACAACAAACTGTCTGTCCGCCCGAGCAGCCTAGAAGCTATTCCTGCTGTTATTGAAAAGGTATGAAAAATACTACATCAGTAACAGAGCACCAAGTAACCCTCTGCTCCTGTATGAGCTTTGAGGATTTATTTATATAGTTGTTACCAAAAATAGTTTCATCCAGCAGATGTTAGGTGATGGAGTGAATTAACAAGTAGAGAGGCTTCTCCTGTGAGCAATGCTATGGAACAAGTTAGAAACAGATTCTGGTCTAGCCTGATGCTTGCTGATACCTGCAGTGTTTTTTGTTAGCTTGAGTCAGAGCTGGGACATTCTTAGGAAACAAAAAAAGCTTTTAGGGAGAGGTGCAATAACTAGAAACATAATAATACAAACTTCAGCTCTTTTACCACTGTCATTACGTGAAGGAGATTTAGAGGGTGGGCAGTGGAGATGGTTGTATTTGGGATCTGAGTTTAGTGCTGGTTTGTTGGGATTTTTTGATAGAGTGAGAGAAAACACTTCCTAATCTCAGTGCTTCAGAAAGGGTTACAAAAGTCTCTCGCTATTGCTGTAGCAACACTTTAGCCATGTCAGCCTAAATTCTGCATAGAGTGCTACTGTTTCCAAAAGTGCAAATTCAGCGGTGCATCTACCTGTGATAAAAGAACTGGAATCAAAAGTAATAGAAAATGGAGGCATTGGTTGTCTTAGTTTTTCTGTGTTTATGCTACTTTAAATAGAATTCAGCTTGAAAGTTTAATTCAGGATTTCCAAACACAGCAGCTAATGCAGTTGTCTCATTGTAAATTAGACAAAGAATTTACAGTCTAATACTGTCCATCTACTGAAAGGCTTCTGTTTGCATATAGGGGAAAATGTGTCAAAACTTGAATTTATTGGTATAAATCAATC